TCAAAGGAAGTTAAACACAAAAACTGGGTGGTGTTTCAGGAACCACATAGAAGAGATAACAACAGTTCCATAAATGGCACCTCATATTTGTGAAGGACAACCAAGCATAGGGGGTGGATGTCACTGTGATACTGACACATCTTTGGAAGAGGCTGCAATGGAAAAACTAGGAAAATACCAACAAATTTAGGATCTGACAAATGCAGCAGACATTGTATTTATGGGCTTTCCCCTTGGAGCACAGGGGAAATGGTACCATAAATATGAGGAACTTTTGAGGGACCTGTGTTTCTCCAAATGGAACAAAGAGAAGACAGCCCAGGGCCTGCCCTCCAGAGCACTCCTTACCTCTGCAGATATTGTACAATGTTTGGGAGCAAAGCACGCACTGCTGTATCCTCTTAGTTCACAACAAAGTCTCACAGCACTTCAAGTGAGTGCTGTGAATGCAAGGCCACCACAATCCAGTTAAATCTGGCCTGGACAGTAGGTGGGGATGACAATGGAATCAGATCATGATGTGTCACATACCACCAATCTGTGACAAAATTCTACCAAGCCTGACCAAGGTGGACAGGCCACCTTCGCTTAATCCAGAAAAAGAGCACGTTGAAATTATATCTGCTATTATATGTGCCTGATAAATAGCCAAATGCCTTGTCATCTAATTAGTGATGAGCATGAAAGCAGGAATGAGATTCCCACTGTCCCTACTGACTATCCAGCAAAACCACAGCCAAGGGAACTGGCTTAGCTGAATCACCGAGGAAAGAAGACCCTGTGGAGCTTGACTCCAGTCTGGTGCTGCCAAGAGACACGAGAGGTGGAGAACAAGGAGGAGGTCGGGCACACACTACTCTGATGGTTTTGTCACTTACCCACTGGGGGGGTGACACAAGCCCCGAGGGGGGCTCTCACTTCTGGCACCAAGCACCTGGGCTCCAGGCAACAATGGGAGTGCCCATGGGAAGCCACTGGTGGCTTTTGCTTCCCTGGGTGGGATCCGCGGGGCTGGGGCTGGGCTGCGATGGGGGAACCCACCGTCACAGGGGGTGGCAGTGGCAGGCGGCCCCTCGCTGATCAGTGCAGGGGTCCGGCTGCTCCCATCTCCCACCACACAGGAGACCTGGTGGCCCTCGAGCCAGGGCCACCCACCCTTGGCACGCCTGGGCTGGGTGGGGCAGACATGGCATCCCACTCCCGTGCCCCGTTTCCCCCTGCCTGGCGGATCCCGCTGCCGCAGGTCCTGCTCCCCGTTCCTGGGTTCCCCTGGTGCACCTGGGCTCCGGGAACGGACTTGGCCTGTCTGGTAGAGGAGTGTCTACCATCCAGATGGGATTCGGGGTTTTTCAATGCCTTTAGTCTTTCATCTGCTCCTCTCCTCTCCACGGCCAAAGGGACAGCACTCTGGCTCGCCTGTGAGCAAAGGCAATCGCAGGCAGTCATCTCATTATGCATTAAATCAATAAATGACCAATCAGAATATTGGTTTCTAACAATCCTTTCAAAACGTTTTCTATTTCACCGGGATCATCTCGGTATCCCTTAACCACCCCCTTCCAATTATCCAGATCTGCTGCACTAAAAGGGACCTTTACTCTCACCAACTCTCCTGCCCGTCCTACTCCCTGCCCAAGGGGGGCCCGGAGCTGGGGGCTTTTGGCTCCTTTTACTCCTCCTGTGCGGTGATGGGGGGGCTGCCGCTGGCTCCTGCTTCACTGCCATCACTGCTGGATTCATCTCCTGATGCCACTGCAGGGCCTTCAGGTCCCGCGGGGGGGAACTGGGGGTGTGCTGCTCTCAATTCTTCCCGATCTATAACCCCTCAGACTTAAGGTCTCTCCCTTTCCTTGTTTTAAGGCACCTTTGCCCGATGCTGCATGATGAGCAGCACCTTTTTATCTTTTGGTTCTCTTTCCCCCTGTCCTTTTCTAATGTTAATAGCAGAGAATCCTGGAGTGAAACGTTTCTCCCGCAATCTCTCTGCCATTCTGGATGGTTTCTCAAACAGAAAAACCTATCTCCACATATTGCCTCATTCCCTTTTCCATTACGCCTTAAAAACAACATTAATTGCAAAAGTATATTATAATTTAAAGTTCCATTCGGCGGCCAACTTTCTCCCCCGTTTCATTTATACAAAGACCACCATTATCTGCAAGATTTAATCGTGTTAGCCTTATTGACACCACTTCCACTCACACCACCCAGATCTCTCCAATGGCTTAAAATACAGCCCAGAGGACTCTTTTTCACAACTTTCTTACTCTGGCTATTTCCCACAGTAATTTACAGGTGCTTTTCTACCTCCTTGCCTTTTACCAACCCTTAAATACAACTGCTTTTTAAGTTACAAACTGCGGGAAATAAATACTGGGAAGCTGATGAAAATTAGTGCCACAGAAAATAAAAACTCCTAATCACACTGCCTGCACCAGACACTGAGGTGTTAACAACTGCGAATTCAAACCGGCACTACAGAACAATAAGAAAACCTTTTCTTACCACACTGCTTCAGCAAACATTAAGATGTTAAGAGGTGCTAATTAAGACTCCTGTCACAAAACAATAAGAAAACTTTTCCCATTCACACTACCTACACCAGACACCGAAATGCCAACAGTTCCTAATTAAAATTGTCGCTACAAGACAATAATAAGACTTCTCTCACAGCACCTACACTGAGTTGCCAACACCTCCTGATTAAAATCGGTGCTGCAAAACAAGGAAACTTCTCACTCACACCACCCCCACCAGACACTCAGATGCCAACGCGTGCCCATTAAAATCGGTGCTGCAAAACAAAAAGAAAACTTTTCTCACTCACTGCACCTAATCCAGACAATACCAACACGTGTCCATTAAAATCGGTGCTACAGGACAAGAAAAAAATCTTCTCGCACTCGCAGCACCAACGCCAGACACTGAGATACCAACACCTGCTGATTAAAATCGCTGCTACAACAACACTGCTCTCACAGTACCTACACCAGGCATTCACACGCCAACATGTGCCCATTAAAATCGGTGCTACAAGACAATAACAAAACCTCTCTCACAATAGCCCCACCAGACACTCAAATGCCAACACGTGCCCATTAAAATCGGTGCTACAAGATAAGAAAAAATCTTCTCTCACTCGCAGCACCTACCCCAGACACCGAGATGCCAACACGTGCCCATTAAAATCACTACTACAAGACAATTAAAAATCTTCTCTCACTCTCAACACCCCTACCAGACACTCAGCTGCCAACACGTGCCCATTAAAATTGCTCCTACAAGACAACTTCTCTCACTCACACCACTCACGCCGGACACTAAGCCAACACCTGCTGATGAAAATCGCTGCTAGAACACAAGAAAACTGCTCTCACAGCATCTACTGCAGAGACGCCAACATGTGCCGATTAAAATCGGTGCTACAAGACAATAACAAAACCTCTCACTCACACCACCCCCACCACACACTCAGATGCCAACACGTGCCCATTAAAATCGGTGCTACAGGACAAAAAGAAAACTTTTCTCACTCACAGCATCTAACCCAGACAATAAAATACCAACACGTGTCGATTAAAATCGGTGCTACAGGACAAGAAAAAATTTCTCACTCGCAGCACTCACACCAGACACTCAGATGCCAACACCCGCTGATTAAAATCGCTGCTACAGGACAAGAACACTGCTCTCACAATACCTACACCAGACATTCAGACGCCAACACGTGCCGATTAAAATCGGTGCTACAAGACAATAACGACTTCTCTCACAGACCCACACTCAGACGCCAACACCTGTTGATTAAAATCGCTGTTTTAAGAACACTACTCTCACAGTAGGTATACCCGACACTCAGACGCCAACACGTGCCGATTAAAATCGGTGCTACGGGATAACAAAAAATCTTCTCTCACTCGCACCACTTATGCCAGACACTCAGATGCCAACACGTGCCCTTTTACCAACCCTTAAACGCAACTCTTTTAGATTAGGAAATACGGGAAATAAATTGTCGGAAGCTGATGAAAATTAGTGCCAGAGATGATAATAAAAACTTCTCCTAATCACACTGCCTACACCAGACACTGACATATTAACAAGTCCTAATTAAAATTAGTGTCACAGAACAATAAGAAAGCCTTTTCTGACCACACTCCTTGTATCAGACACTACGGTATTAACAGGTGCTGATTAAAACTCGTGTCACAAAAATATAAGACAACTTTTGCCATTCACAATACCTACACCAGACACTGAAATGGCAACACGTGCCGATTAAAATCGCTGCTACAAGACAAAACTTTTCTCATAGTACAGCACCTACACCAGACACTGATGCCAATACGTGCTGATTAAAATCAATGCTATAAAACAAGGAAACTTCTCTCACTCACAGCACTCACACCAGACACTCAGATGCCAACACGCGCCGATTAAAATCGCTGCTACAAGATAAGAACAAAACTTCTCTCACTCGCAGCATCTACCCCAGACACTCAGATGCCAACACGTGCCCATTAAAATCCGTGCTACAAGACACTAAGAAAACTTCTCTCACAGCAGCTACAGCAGACCCTGAGAGCTATACTTCACACGCACTGCACTCACCAGACTTCTGAAATAATTTATTAAGACCCACAAGCTTTGCCTTACACACCGTACACGACCTCCGAAACAGAAACAATTTACCGGGACACACACGAACTCCGAAACAGAAACAATTTACCGGGACACACACGACCTCCGAAACAGGAACAATTTACCGGGACACACACGAACTCCGAAACAGAAACAATTTACCGGGACACACACGAACTCCGAAACAGAAACAATTTACCGGGACACACACGAACTCCGAAACAGAAACAATTTACCGGGACACACGAACTCCGAAACAGAAACAATTTACCGGGACACACGAACTCCGAAACAGAAAGCGACTTACAGGTACTTTCCAACGACCGGTCACCCAAAACCAAATTATACGAAACAAATACCTTCAATTGGTCGCAGAGGTCCCCGTCTGCTCCCGCAGCGAGCCCAGCGAAGTGAGGAGTCCCTTCGGCAAAATCCCGAGGGCGCCCCAGGGAGTCCCTGCCTCCAGCGGAGTCTGCAGCCGAGCGCAGGGTGACTCCCGCCTGGCTGGCCGGAACTGAGGCCGGCAAAAGCCGACGGTAGGAAAACCCAACAGCCACAGGTCCTATTAAGCCGCTATTTGTTTATTACGGCACAGGACGAAAACAGGACACCTCCCACTAACACGCGCACACCCTCCCCCCTCACAGCTTCCCTTTCCTACAACTACTCATACATATTCATTGTCATTTTACATATTCATGACCTACCCGAGACTGGGCGGTGTTCGATGTCAATCTCGGCACACGCTTCTGCCGCCTGCGCGCTTCTCTCCCGTGGCCGTCCCGGGCGGTCGTAGGGGATGAAGGCTCAGAGTCTTCCTCTCTCCGAACTGTCCCCTCGCTCTCGGAGCATGCGCAGTCTCTCAGCACCGGCCCCTGGCGGCAGCTCCTCATTGGCTGCCCGGCTGCTCGGTGTCCCATTGGTTGTCTATTGGTTACGCTTGGCTGCACCGCGCGCTCTCCCATTGGCTGCCCCTTCCCGCCATCCCGCAGCTTTCCCATTGGCTGCCCCTGGGCGCCTCCCCATTGGCTGCTCCCCGCCCACACGGCTGCTCTCTGAGCGACCGCCCCGGACCCTGAGAACTGCCCTGATTCAGCTCTGCAGCTTCAATTGTCCCGCAGCAGCAGCAGCGGAACATCTTCTCCACAGCAACTTAACATTTTCCCTCGGCGGGGCGACCCCACGACACCAAAAACACTCCCAGCGACGCAACCCCAGCTGTGCTTCGCACAGAGACCCCGCCCGGCCCCCCGGCAGCGCCCCCGGCCCGTGCCCAGCCTCCCCTCTGCTCCGGGCTCCGCGCCCGGCGCCGAACGCCTTCGCCTCCCCCCGCGCCGCCTCCTCCTCGCCCCGGCGCTGCCGCTGCCGCCGCCCCGGGGCGCGGGGACCGCCTTGGCCGCCCCGCTCCGGCACCGCCGCTGGGAGGGGGGAGCGCGGGGCGGCCCCGACCCGTGCGCGGGGCCTGAAAGGCGGCGGGGGAGGAGAGGGAGAGCGCGGCGGGGGCTGTGTCTGCACCGGGCCGGGCCCGGAGCTTGAACACTGTTTGTTTGGGACGGCCGAGAGCGCTGCGGGAAAGCTGCCCAAGAAAGCCGGAGCAGGAACCTGTTTGGGGGCTTTTGGAACAACCCCTTTCGCGGGAGCGACAGACCCCGAAAGGCTGTGTGCTCCCCTGGGTTTGGGACCCGCCTGACCCCCCTGGGGGGCCCAGGCACCTCTGTGAGGATTTTAGCGCTTGGAGCAAGGGAGTTACCTCCGGGCAGCAGATAAAGAGAACATCGCAGCACCCTGCAGGAGAAAGTTGTTTCTTCCCACGTTAAAGCTTTTCCCTGGCAGCGAGAGTTTCCTTGAGTGGGCATTAAGGTTTTCCATCCTCGGTGTTTCTTGGAAGGTTTTCTACCCTACACTCTGTGTGTGTGTCTGTGTGTCTGTCTGGGAGTCTCTGTGTGTCTGTGTGTCTGTCTGGGAGTCTCTGTGTGTCTGTATCTCTTTGTCTGTGTCTGTGCGTTGCAGCAGTGGGGGGGCCCGGCCTTTGCAGGATGGCAGCTCCATGTCTGCAGAGATTTATTTCATTGAAAAACTGACAAGTAAAAACCAAACCAAACCAAAATGCAGTGCTGGAAAAGGGAAACAAACACCTCCCCACCCCCCTCCCAACATCCCTTCCCCGGCCCCCTCTGCCTCCCACGCCCCAAAATAAAAAAAATACATAAATAAGTAACTACAGCCACTCCCCACCACCAACACAAAAACAAATACCTCCCTTCACACCACTATGGCACCAGTACGGGCCAGTATGAGACCAGTACAGACCAGTAGGGACCTGTATGGACCAGTCTGGGACCAGTATGCACAACCATGGTACCAGTATGGGCCAATATGGACCCATAGGGGCACCAGTACAGCACCAGGGTGGACCAGGACAGGCACCAGTGACACCAGTATGGCAGCAGAATGGGCACCAGGGCTCCCAGTGCTCCCAGGATGGCCCCAGTATGGGCGTCAGGGCTTCCAATATAGGAGTCTCCAGTTCTCCCAGTATGGGGGCACCAGGGCTCCCAGTGCATTCAGTACTTTCAGGATGGGGTCAGCAGTACTCCCAGAGCTCCAGGTATGGGGTCACAAACGCTCCCAGTACAGGCCCAAGGGTTCCCAGTATGGGCTTCAGTCACAGGGGCTCTTGGGGGTCCCCTGGCTTCCCAGCCCCTCCCCTCATGGAACCAAAGGGACCCTGGGACACTGTGGAACCTCATGGAATCACAGGGCCAGTGACTCTGTGGGACCTGATGGAACCAAAGGAACCCTGTGACACTGAGAAACCTCATGAAGTCAAGGGGACGTTGTGACATTGTGGAGCCTCGTGGAACCAAAGGAATTCTGGGACACTACAGAACCTGATGGAACCAAAGGAACCCTGGCACCCTGCGGAACCTCAGGGAACTGAAGGAGCCCTGGGACATTGTGGAGCCTCGTGGAATCGAGGGGCCATTGTGCCACTGACAAGCTCTGTCAGGGTTTAACCCCAGTCAGCAACTGTGGAGACGTTTGCTCACTCCCACACCAGCCAGAGCAGGGGCAGACTTGGAAGGATAAAAGCTGGAAAACTCCTGGGTTGAGGTAAAAGACACTTTAGAGGGAGAGCAAAACTGGGCACACGAGCAAAGAAAAGCAAAGAATTAATTCAGCACTTCCTGTGGGAAGCAGGTGTTCAGCCACCTGCAGGGGAGCAGGGTCCCATCCCACACAATGCTTCCTGGGGAAGACAAATGCCATCACTCCAAACCTTCCTTTTCCTTCTTCTTCCCCTCCCTTTCTATCCTGAGCATGATGTCATGTGGTCTGGAATATCCCTTGGGTCAGTTTGGGTCCCCTGTCCCGGCTGTGTCTCCTCACAGCCTCCCAACTTCCTTGCCAGCCTGGCCCTGCGAAAAGCAGAAAAGGCCTTGGCTCTGTGTGAGCCCTGCTCAGCAACACCAAAACATCTCTGTATTATCAACCCTGTGTTCAGCACAAATCCAAAACACGGCCCTGTACCAGCCACTGGGAAGAAAATCAAC